GCTGGTGCTGTAGCCCCAGGCTGGGCTCCATCCCTAAATCAGCAGGATTAGCTAGGGCAGGGCCTGTCTGCACGCTTGGGGATCACTTACCAGAGCTATGCAGGGAAGGGGCTTTCCTACAAGCCCTATCAGAAGTTCAGCTTCCAAACTGACTGCAGCGAACAATTAATGCAGCAAATCCCTATCTGCTGCTAAAGCAAAGGCACCTAAAATACACCGTGCCTTGCTTTGGGCTCATCCCTCTCTTAGGGCCCTTATTAAAAGCACAGAGATACAGAAGCCCCATTAAAATGCCATTCTGGGGGCTTTAAAATAGACTTTTTGTTTTAACTGTGGGAGGGGGTGGGAGAAGAACTTAAACGCTCAGCTCCTAAAATTGCACACCAATTCCGTTCGGAGCACTCCCCTCCTAGCTGGGTGAGCAGAGCCGATGGCTCCCCATGGAGAGCTACAAAACGGGGAGCTCAGCGCAGCGCCCGGACCAGCAGCAGCCCCGCAGGAGGGGCAGGGGGTGCCGGGGTCCCTTCCCCCGGGGTGTCAGCAGCTGAGCCAGCCCGGAGACCTCAGTGCTTGCACCCGCTGGACCCCTCAGCCTGTCACCGTGTTTGCCAGCAGGCTGGGCAGTGCCCGTGTCCCTTCGTGTGGGTGCCCAGGTGGGTGCCACCGTGCAGGGAGCCGGGGCTGCCACCCCTCGGCCTGCTGCCAGCTGGGGGCTGCTGGGGATGGGGGCAGCGCGCAGAGGGGGACTCACGGAGGAGATACTCGGCCGTGTCCTGCTCGTAATCTGCGTCCTCGGGGAAGTGGTCGATTTTCTTGCACACTCCTCGGAAGGTTCCTGAGGAGACACAAGCCAGGAAGCCTTCAGATCCCTCTGCGCTGGGGGCGGCGCTGCACATGGGGCTGCCCAGTGACCCCAACCACAGCCCCCCTGCCCCGGGGGTACCCGTGAGTCTTGGTGTCACCCCCCCGCTGCAATCCTCCCAGGGGCAGTGTGCAGCGAAGGGCAGCACCCCCCCCCTACCAGCAGCACCCACCAGCAGTGGCTGCCTGCCCCTCTGTGCCCGCTAACACCACTTGGGGCGCAGACTGACTCTGGAGATGTGAGTTTTGGAGGCATGGATAACTTCATTCAAATTACCACAACAGGTTTCTCGCCTGCTTTCCATTCCTTGCTGCTTCTCAGCTCTGCTTTGTGCCTGGGACAGCTGGCAACCACAATAGATGCTGGAGAAGGCAGAGTCACCGAGGGGACCCTGGCCTCACCCAGCTCCAGCCCCCTTCACGCAGCCCCTGCACGGCAGGCACACGCGTGTACACACACACACACCACGGGTAAGCACCAGAGTCACAGGCGAGTGCCAAGGCTGAGCCACCCACCCCACGGCATGGCCCAAAACCCTGCACCCCCACAGCCCCATGCCTGCTGCCCCCCTCCTCCCACACCCAAAACCCGGAGCGGGGGCCGAGCGCGGCCCCGCTGTGGTGGGCACCGGCAGCGCTGCCTGGAAGCCCTGGGGAAGGAGACAGATGCTCTGGCATCTGATGGCCTCCCACTTAGCATTTGGGAAGAAAAGGCTCTCTTTTCTCTCTTTTTTTTTTTTTCCTGATTTTCCCCCCTCCTGGCTCTGAAGCAAAACAAAAGCATTTTGCCTTTGAACGCCTGTTTGCTTTGGCTTTCTCTTCGCTGTGCTTTAGGGCCCAGCTCTCTCCCGTGCCAAAGTGGTGCAGTTGTGCCATGAAAGGAGAAAGCCAAGGACGAGCCCGGCTCAGCCAGGTGACACACTGGGGACTCGGTCACTACAGGAAGGGAATGGGGACAGCGCGGGGGGGTCCACAGAGGGGAGATCCTGACAGGTCACACGTGTTGGTGGGGCAGCCTGGAGAAGGGACTGGCTGCGTCTCTTTTTTACTGTTTCTGCTCAGCCATCCAGCAGCCTGCTCCGTGTGCTACCGATGTGCAGTCAGAGGGAAATCAAAGGCATTAAAACAAAAAAAAAATTGGCTATGCCCAGTTGCACTTATGGATTTGTTTTGATGGATGCAGCCCGTCCCCGCCTGTGGATGCTGAGATCCTGCTCCCCGTGGCAGCTCTCCAAGGCACCGAGCGCTGCTGGGGACAGCTCAGGGCTCGGTGGAACTGCAGCACCTCCAGGGGCCGGGCAGCTGCAGTGGGTCCTGTCTGCAGGACTCTCAGAGCTGCCTTCTCCGGAGGAAGCAGCACACAAGTGCCAGGGCATGCCCGGTGCTTTCTCTGCAGCACTGACAAATGTTGTCCTTGACGTTATAAATGGGTAACCAGGCACGGAGCATGGCTTCCCCGCGGTGTCAGGGCAGGCTGAGGTGGGAGGGATCCCTCTTGCCATCCCATTCGGGTTATGGCCCTGCCACAAAGCTGCCAACGCTCACGCAGAGCTTGGTGCGGGACAGATGGCAGCGGGGGCCCTGCCAGCAAACATCTCACAGCCACGCGCTGCAGTGGTGCAGGTCCCGGGGACTTGTCCCCTGCTCATACTGCTGTGCCACCGACTTCTGGCTTGCCAAAAGCCATTGCAAGATGCGCTGCTCGTCCCGTGCCCCATCCCTCTCAGAAGAGCTGTGTCCACCTTCAGTGATGGCTTTTCCAGCCCGCAGCAGCTCGATGGGAGCAGCTCTGTGTGACAGCAGCGCCAGGCCATGCTGGCTGTGTCCCCTCTCTCGTGGGATGTGCCGCTGGGGGACGGGGCGCTGGGCGAGAGAAGCCATCCTGCACGGCATCCCCAGCAGCACACCGTCAGTCCGCTCTCCAGCTCCAGCTCGGGGGAGCTGAGCATCGTGACAGGCATCAATTAAAGCCTGGAGATGAAGCTCTGGAGGTGGCAAGCTGTCATCCAGGCGGAGACGCGGCATCGGAGGGAGAAGCGCCTGCTGCCGTTGCTTTGGGAACTGCGGGCGCTGGGGAGGCTGAGAACGGGCAGCACAAATGGGTGGGGAGGCACCGGGCACGGCAAGGACAGCAGCCTCAGCACAGCCTCCCTCCTCCTCCGCCCCTGCTCCTGGCTTTCCACTCACCTTCTCCTCCCCTCTCCCTGTACCTGCCAGCCAGGCTCTGCCCCAGGCCCCCCAAGCTTCCCCCCAGATCTCTCCCTTTCCTCACCCAGCCAAGGCAGGTCCTTGCTCTGTCTTGGCACCAGCCAAGCTCACCGCCTGCACTGTGCTGTGCCCGTTTGCTGTCCCTGACCTGCAGGGGTTGCAAAGCCCCCCACAGGATGGTACAGGATCTCCTCCAAGTGCACAGGCTCACAAGACAGGGACATTTCCCTCTGAAACAACCTGCCTCAGCAGGCTCATGTGGCCAGCACTCATTATCTGATTAAGAGAAAACTTTCCACGTGGGAAAGGAGTTTGGAGACCAAGCCTCGGGTGCAGCCCCCCGGCTGCAGGATGCCATGGCAGGGGTCGAGGTGCCCAGCCTGGGCTGCTGCTCCCGGCTGGGATGTGCAACCCCTGCTGCAGTGCTGCCTGTCCCACCAGAACACTTCGATTGCCACAGACATAAAAATCTATGTATTTTTTTGAGAAGTGACTTTCCCAGCGGAGGAACAGAGCCTCTGCTCAGCTGCAGGACTCAACCTGCCTGCAACCTGCGTGTCTGGAGGCTTCTTTAGAGGCAGTGCTCACGGGGCTCGCGATGCTCCTGGTCTGCCAGCCCCTCACCCTGCAGCAGGTTTGCCAAAATCTGCCCCACCCCGGGGCCAAGGGAGCCCCCCCCGCCCAGCAGGGGCCGGGCAGCTCCCCCCGCACCCCCGGGCGCTGCCCCCGGGGCTCGAACAAACGAGGGCCGCGGGGAGCCCGGCCCGGCCCCGCTGCATCCTTTTCACGCCCCGACATTTATTTCGGTTTTTTTGCTCCCGATGCTCGTTACCACGGCGACCGCGCGGTCACCTGGCGCGCAGAGAAAAGCCCCAGCTCCAAAAAAATGCCCGGGCTGCAAGCACACAGCACACACAACACACACGCACACACACACACACACAGCACACACACAGCACACACAGCACACACACACACACAAAAACACAGCTCCTGGCCGGGCTGCTCGCACCGCAGGGCTCCACGCACCCTGAGGCCACCTGGAGACAACTCGAAATCTGGGGCTTTCTCCTTGTTTTACAGCAGGAGCCCTACCAACAAGAGCACTGCGGGTGCAAAGGAAGAGGGGTTGGGTTTTGTCGGACCTCCTGGAGCCCCCTGCCCACTCTTCCTTCAGCAGGGCTGCAGTCGGGGGCACAGCCGGGGCACCCACCCCCAGAAACCTCCAGCTCCTGCCAGGGCACCGGGGCAGGAGCAGCCTGGGACTCACCGGGAGCCCTGAAGCTGGGCTCCTCTCTTGCTGCAGGAGGAGAAGGCGAGCTGCTGCTGCTGGGCAGGGGCTGTTCTGGGGGTGCTGGGCTCAGCCCAGCCCGCTGGCCTGGCATTTCCACAGCTGATGCCCGTGCTGGCAAAGTGACCCTGCTCTGCGTGCGTGAGTCACACCACCTGGGCTTTAATTCATCTGCTGGCTGGGAGAGCTGGAGCAAAGGCAGAACGCTGCTGTGGTTATCCATTCCCCGCTTAGCTGCCTCTGTGCTGGATCTGGGTAATTTTCTCTCCCTGTCAGTGTGAATCCCGATTAGCCAACTTAGCTTATCGCTGCGCTTCCCTGCCCAGAGCCTGGGCTGTTTGGCAGCTGGCTCCTCTCGCTGTGACTTGCACAGCCCTGCTCCAGAGCCTCCACTTGCCCGCCCTGGCACTGGCCAGCTTCTCCCATTGCATTTTTCTGTGCCGAATAACCAGATCCTCATTGCCTTCTCGCTAACCCACTGGGCACATCCATCACACAGGACTGTCAGCAAGCCCAACTCTCCCCATGCAAGTGCATGCCCTGTGCCCCCCAGCTGTGCAAACAGACGTGGACAGTGCCCAGCCAACAGGCAGCGGTGAGGAGCCTGGGGAAAAAAGGATTGAGGCAGCTAGCTGGAGGAGAGCCAGCCGTGAAGCCAGCAAGTTAATCCTTTGTCGTATTACATTGCCCTCCGTGCTGCTGGCTTGCTTTGCTCTCCCTCGGTCCCTCCTGCAGGAGGGAGGCACGGTGGCACAGCTCGCTGCTCCCCTGCACCCACCCCGCGCACAGCCTGGTGCTGGCTGCAGAGCCCCACGGCTGCACCGAGGGCAGGAGGAGCATCCCCAGGGCTGGGCACACGGGAGCCTACCAGCAGCCAAGAGCAGTAAAATACTCTGGCACTGAGTGTCCGAGACGTACGGAGCAGGGTGAGCTCGGGATGAATCATGCCCTCTGCGGATGAGTTCACCGCGGCGCTGGGCCAGGCCGGCCCCCAGGAGCGTGTCCTTCAGCAGCTCGGCTCCGTGCTCCCCGTGCAGGCTGTTTTGAAGCCTCTGCTGTGTAAGAGGGCACAAAGCAGCCCCCTGCCCCTCCGTGGGGCTGGAGGAGCCCAGGCCACCCCTGGATGTGATGGATGAGCAGTGCAGGGAGGGGAGCAGCCGGGGTGGGGGGCACCTGAGCAGGTCCTGCTCTCCTGCTCCTGCTCCTCTGGGCCCTGGAGGATGCATCAAAGCTTTGGGCACCCTGTGGGGGCTTGGGGCAGCACGAGCATCCCCAGCCTCGCTGCTGGCCAGGTGCCACCTGCCCTGAGTTGTCTGCTCCTCCCCTCTCCCTGCTCAGCCCCGCGGAAATCCATTGCAAGTCCACAAGAAGCATTTGTCCGTGTTCTGCACCACCAGTGAGCTTTGGTTCACGGTCCTGATTTAATGGCACTGCTTTAATCCAGGGGCACCCCTGGGTGGGCAGCTGGAGGGGTGCCCCCAGTGTCCCCAGCAGGGCAGGGCAGGGCAGGGCAGCCCTCTCCAGTTGAGGAACCTTGCAGGGCACTTCACATGAAAACACGGTACGTGAGAACTGGATCACCAGCATGCAGAGAGGATCTGCCCGATTACTCCAGCCTCACCATGGCCCTGCCTTTCAGGTAACGTTTAATTTGGAGGAGATGAACTCACATACCGCATTTTGCATTCTCTCATTTTGAAAAGGCATCCACCCTCTGTTCATCCCGTGCTCTGCAGGATTCCTCCACCCCTCTCATCCCATCGGGTCGGAGCACCCCGAGCAGCCCCTGCACACCACCACCAGCCTGGTGCCCGGAGCGGGCTGCTCTTATGGGGTAATGTTTCCTTTCAGCAGGCTTTTGTTGCTGCTGCTTTAGTTCATTTGTATTGCGAAGTACGTACTCTCTGCACTGCATTTATCAGAGAATGCAAAGGCAATTAATTGATTTTATCTCAGGTCTTTTTCCCCTCAAAGCACTTTCCCCCAGGGAGGGTTATTGGAAGGGGGTGGGCAGGGGGAAGGAGGGGTTTGCGACAGAACTATGATTTTCATGATGCTGATGGTGGAAACACGGCCAAGAATATTGATCGCAACTTGGAAAGCCAAAAGACTAAAAGGCTCTAGTTTGGGTTCTAAAAATCTCATTACTTCTCATCCAGTGAAACACTTTTCAGGCACTGTTCTGGCTGTTGCTGCTCCCTCGGTGTGGGAACTAAGACCTGGGGAGATGAGCAGTATTCCTGCCATCCCCATCCGGGAGTTCAGCCCTCCTGCAAGGTCAAATTTCAGACCTGGGCTCTTGGCACGTCCTGGTAAGCTCAGGCAAGTTGTCTCATGAGCCATGGCCTACAGGAACGGCTATCCCAAAGACAACTTATTGGGCCTAAGCTGCATGGAGCAAGTGGTGTGGCCGCTGTGCCCGAAGTTCTCTGAAATTTAACATCCAGTGGAGAAGCAGAGGTCAAAGCTCGGCTACAAAGTGCTGGGTTATGAGCTCAGGCACTCAGCTCCCTCGAGTAACAAGAGCAAGGTACCTAAATATCTCTAAGGAATTAAAACTTCAAGGCTCATCTTTTTTTACCTTCCGCCCACCTCCCAGATGCCTGGGGAGTTGGAAGGAAATTCATCTTTATCCTTCCCCAGCTTCCCGCTCTGCAAGGGATCCCGAGGCTGTTTGCACAGGGTCCCTGCTGCGGAGCTGCAAAACCTCGGGCGCTCAGGGCTGCGGGGGGCCGGCCACCACCGCAGGGACAAGTGGCTGTGCCATGGGGGTGGTGGCACTGAGCAGCTACCGCAGGGCACCGCTCCTGTCCTGGCAAGAGGCTCTCAGCCCCAAAAGCACCATGCTGCTGCCAGACTGGGCTCAGCCTGCACCATCTGCCCAAAAGCAGCTCCCTGCAAACCTCCCCAGTGCTCCCAATTCAAGCGGTGGGCACAGACTGAGAGTTTAGGGCCGCTGTTCTCTCACATAGGGCAATGCCCCAGCACGGCAGAGCTCTCCCAGCCCTCACTGCCAGTGTCAGTCACCCCAAGCCTGGGGGCACCCCTGGGCTGCTCCCCTCTCCCCGAGAGCTGGATGTGAGCAGCGGTGCCCGCAGGCAGGCTGCCGCCCCCAGCTCCTCTGAAACAAAGCCCAGCACAGCGCTCACCTCCTCACTGCTACCTCCTCAGCACAGACAGGATTCAAACGCAACACGAGCGGCTTGGGGAAGCGAAGGGAAGGTGGTGGGGCTGTTAGGAGCTCCTCAAACCAGTGGTGATGGCAACTCAGCTGGAAGAGCTGCTTGATCCGAGGATGCTGCCGAATGCATCTGAATGCCTTGGGTAGGTGTTTGCTCAGCTGGAGCTTGCTCTGCTCCCAGAGCCACGGCAGACTTAGGGACTCAGGTGAGCAACCTGTCCCCACCACGAGGTCAGCTTTGTGGCCCCCCAGATCACGGGCTGTCACCTCTTTACAATGCATCTGCTTGCACAAACTTCATTGGTGAGAAGTTAAATTAAGACGAAGCATGTGCGATGGCTGGAAAGCTCCCTCTGCTCCTTGTGGGTTGGGATGGGTTCCCCAAATACTGCCCCAGCAGCAGGACACCCCCCAGGACACCAGCTCGCCCCAGGACCAGCTCCCCCCAGCACATCCCCGCTTCCCACAGTGGCCCCGTGCCAGATCCCCAGCGGGGCGGTGGCGCAGAACCTGGCTCCGTCTCTTTCACACCCTCTCCCCCTCTCTGTGGTGGTGGTTGGTGTCTCAGCAGAGTCACCTACACAGATATGCATTTTCTGAAGGATTTTTTTTTTTTTCCTGGTAAAAAAGCAGTGGAAAAACCCCAAGTCAAATTAAACAAGTGCAACAGCAAGGAGGCGGCAGAGGCGGGCTCTGCGGTTACAGCACCGGCCGGGCGCTGATGCTGCTTCAGACAGGAGCTGGAACATGTGCAGCAGAAGTGCAGCAGGACCTGGCCCCAGGTGGCGAGGACCCACGGCTCGGGGGACAGGGAGCAGTGCCCAGGCTCACACCCCCCAGCCAAGGCTGAGCGTGGGATGCCCCAGCCTGGTGCCCGCTGCCATGGGACGCTCAGCGAGGCACACGTGGGCACTCCGGGGCTGGGGGTACACAGAGACCTGCTCTGCCACACGCTGCAGCCCCCCACCAGCTGGAGATGCAGCCCTCCAGGCACAGATCCACCAAGGGGTGAGCCCAGAGCTCTGTGTTGGAGCTGGGGGGGCCCAGGCATCCCCGTGGGGGCAGCTGTGGGCACGGCCAGGCTCTCACACCAATGGGTGGACTGGGAACTTCTGCCAGTTTTAGCCAGGGATGCTCCAGCGCTCAGCATGTCACAGACTTTACTCCCTCAGCATTGCTAAAAGGGAAAAAAAAAAATCTACATTTTGACAGTGACTCATCATCTCCCATTCTGGAATCTGTGGGGTTGCTACAACCTACACAAGGCACTTCAGAAAAGCAAAACAATTCTGAATAATAGAGGAAAAAAAGTTTGAAAAGGATGGGTAATTTCTAGCACTCTTCGAGGGTTCAGCTTTGGTTTTCTCATTATAAAAGCAATCAGGTAACGCACCGGAGCTGCCTTTCAGGTCACCCCCACGCTCCCCTGGGTTTCCTTCCCATCACTCGAGCTTTCCAAGGACCACAGATGCCCAGCGATGGAAGCAGCTGCTGGGGGTCGGGGGCTTTCCCCCCCAGAGGTCAGCACAGCAGGGCAGGGGTGCGAGATGGGGACGAGGACAAAGCCCCCGTGGCAGCTGGGGAGCCCCCAGGGCACCAGCACTGAGAGCAGGCTGGGGAAGCTCCCAGCACTTCCTGAGGAAGCCGTTTCTTGTTTCGTCTTTAACAGCAAATAAACATTGATTTTTATTCTGAAACGTAATTGACATTGCCATGATAGCAGAGTGAGGGCTGGTGCCACCAGAATCAGTGTAAATAAGCCACGTGCTAGGAAGTAATGAGCTTTGCTGATTGAGTTTATCCTTTTAAATTAATACAACTCCAGGATTTTTTAATCTTTCATTTGCCAGCTCGGAGATACTGATGGCAAGAGACAGGCAGGAGTCAGAGCTAGGTCTGCCCGAGGCACAGGCAGGGAGCACCAGGGCAGGATCCAGCCCTCGGTTGTTCCGCAGACACCGGGTTCGGGTGGGTTAACCGAAAAGCTTCAGGGAAGGGTTCGCCCCCCCAGCCTGGTCTGTGGCTGTGGGTGGCTGGGGTGGCCAGCTCAGCCCCGGGAGAGGTGCCCAGCATGGCTCTGCCGCCTGCCACACGCTCCTCTGGCTGCTGCCAAGGGTTTGAGGCCCAGCTTCCACCTCCAAAAGCCGTGCAGCCCTGTCAGCCCCGCAGATGGGACCAGGCACCATTAGTGCAATGCTTCATCGACCTTCTGCCCGGTGTGAAGGTTGGACTCAGCACCCACCGGACCCAGCACCCATCCCCACCGCTCCCAGACAGCCCTGCAGCTCCTCTTAATGCTGGGCTCCGCTTCCCCACGATCATCTGTGCTGCCTTAATGGCCTCTCATTTAATTACTGAAACTCATGCCCTCTCCTGCTCTTATTTGGACACAAATCCCATGCCCCAGCTCATGCTGTTTTCTCTCCCTTGGTTTTCCACTGTGATGCTTTTTGGTCCTCATTGCCGCATGTCCCTAACCCAGCCCCCCCGTGTTCGCAGCCATTTCTCCCCATCACAACCATTACAGAGCCACGTGCAGGACTCAGGACTGTGCCCAAACTGCCCCTAGTCAGACTGCTGCCCAGCTGCTCAGAAAGCAGCCCTGTAGGGGTGACCCTCCTGCGTGGAGCACAGCAGCTCCCATCCACCGCCTGCCCTCCAGCCAGGACCAGCCCCAGCCCGAGGGCACAAAGCCAGCAGCAAAACAGGAGAGAGGAACCAGGGCACAAACAAGTCCTCCTCCAGCATGAAACTGAGCGGTGAGAGCAAAATTTGTCAGGAAAGCAAAGGGCAGACCTTTAATTGCCTGCACATCACGGCTGCAAGCTGGGATAACAAACCAAAGGGACGGGACTGGCTCGTTTATTGGAGCACATTTGACCCGCGTAGCGTTTCTGAACCCTATGGAGAGATCTGTACAGCCAGAATGCTAAAAATCAATGAAAAAATGCACTCAGAAAGGACAAGGTGGAAAAAACAAGGATCAAAATTAAAAAAAAAAAAAAAGATCCTGTCTGAATTAATGGCCACTTGTTTAACCAGAATTAATATATAGAGAAGGAACAAGCTGTGGTGCTCTGGTGTCTGCTTCAGCCCCCTGAGCTGTACCAGAGGACAGATTATACCAGAGGCTGCTTAAGTACCTATTTATAATAAGTAGGAGAGAAAGCTGCATTATGATGGGAAGCTGGAGGTTTCACTTCGCCAGTATTAAAATGTCCTCTGAATTTCTAAAAACCTATAAATGACAATTTCATAGCTCTGAAGCATGGCATCTCACACAGGGAGCGCTATTTTAGACTGTGTTGACAGCTGAAGGGGAATGGATCAAAAAATTAAAAACTAGTTGCTGCTCAGGTCCAAGGAATCGTGGCTTGATTGCACTTCTTATGGGCAAACAGAGTGAAGTTCAAGGCACTAACATATATTCTCAGTGCTTTAAAGGCCAATTCACAGAGCAGAAAACAATTATAAGCCAAATCAGTTCGGAGGAGAGATTTAAACATAAAAGCACAGCTGTGAATAGGGAATGATTTAAGAGCGTTTTACCCCCCAATTCACAACGGAGATGTGGGTTTGCACCAGTTTAAAAGCTGCCTGGTTAATATGTAAACAGCCGTAAAAATAAAAACATGCCCAACAAAAAGAAGAAAGGAGATATTCATAACTCTGAATTTAAATCAGCAACTCAAAATTGTAGAGCGCTGATAAAGGACGCAAACAAACAGTAGAAAAACCATCAAAACATCTTTCCCTGATGCATTAGGATGAACAACAACAACAGAAAGGAGCAATGCTATCTCCTGTTCCTAGACAAAAACGGCAGAAGCGTTAGTCACAGGACGGAGGAACGTTAAATAACTGTTATAACAAGTGCGACATTTCATATGCAGCAGAGTCACATCCCAGCGCTCAGAGATGCCAGAAGAGCCGAGCAAGCAATTAGCACCGAGGCTTCTGCAGCTCTGGGGAGGGGGGAAAATCAGCTCTGCCAGGGGTCCTGCCCCAGCCCCTGGGGGTCCCCAGCCCAGAACCTGGAGGTCGCTGCAGTCAGACCTCCACTGGATGGGATGTTCCCATCATCACACATGGAGAGTGATGATAGGACACCCAAAACGAGGACCACGAACATGGGGACGGGGCTGAGGCCACTGGCAACCACTTGCCTTGGTGCCACCAGAGGAGGACACTGGGGACACGCAGGCGAGGAGGGACCCGGAGAGCTGGGAGAGCTGAGCTGGTGCTTTCACCCATCACAGCATGGAGTAACAGCACCAAAAGGCTCTTCCCTATTTCAAGGTGAAGGGACTGCTTGGATGCGTGGCTAACAGCACCGTGTGCTCGAGGCAGGCATTAAATGACAAGATTTCCAAGAGGCAAAAGGCTGGGACAAAGCTGGGATGAAGCACTGTGAAGAGCCCAGCTCCCACAGCACGGCCCACCCGTCCCAAGAGAGGTCTCTGCCCAGCAGAGAAACCACAACAAGATTTAAGAGGGGAAGGTGAAGCCTGGCCAACTGGGCTTGGAAATGGGCAATTTGCAGGGTGAGAGCAAGCACTCAGCTCAGCAGGGATCATGGCTCCATGCTCTGGCACATCCCAGCACAGGCAGGACCGCCGCTCCCTGCCTGCCCTCCTGCACGCTCTGGTCCCAGCCCCGTGCCACTGATGCCCAACTGCATTTTGAGGGCTGTGAACAGTAAATCAGTTCTCAAAGGAGTCACACAGTACAGACTATCAAGGCTAAAAATATGTAAATCGCCATGGAAAGCGCTGTCAGAGCTTCAGCGAGACTAGGAAGATGCCAAAAGGCAATTTAGAATTTTTGAGCTCACTGCACGAGGCATTAAAAAGGTCACTATTTCTGAAATAGGGATCTTTACAAATAAACACATTTGCTCAGGACTCGGTGAGTCATGCTGGAGCGGAGCACAGAGCATTTCCAACCTAATGCTTTTGACAGGCCACGAGCAGGGCGATCTTTTCATGTTTACAGTTCATCAATAGTTTTTACAGCCACACAGTCAATCTTTAAAGCACATTTAGCCTGGGAGGAGGCTTGGCAGGTTGTTTTCCTTGCAAAAATGATATTAAATTTCTTTTTTCTTTCTCTTACAGTGCTAATTTGAAGCTAAGTACTTGAACTTCAAATATGGGATTGCCACTCCAATACCTGCTTTTTTTATATACTTCTTGTCACTTCTGCCTAACAATATAAATATTTGAAGTTTTCAGCTGATGCACTAAAAGGGACTGCATCCATCAAAACCTATTTGTTTCAGGGAGCTCAGGGGGCATCACGCTGCTGGCACAGGAACAGGAACGCTCATGAAGGGCAGCGGAGGCTCTGCTGGTCCCTTTGGCCAGGAGCAGGGAAAGGAAAGATGCCTACAAAGAGGCACTGCCAGGTTCCCCAAAATTCAGAGCACTTTCCATTAAGCAGCACCTATCCCAGCCCATCGAGCCCTGGAAGACTTCACCACGGGGAATGCTCCTGAGCTGTGTGAGCTGCGGTGTGCTTGGTGCCTGGGGAGTGGGGACAGGGAGGGCTGCAGGAGCAGGGGGGCTCTGCCCATTGCACGAGGGGCACCAGGGCACCACGAGCCCCTTTCCTGAGCCACCCTGGGCAATCACCTCCCCCTCTCCTGCCTGCATGTGGGATTTTGGATTTTGCTGCCTCAGCCTCCTGCTCTGCCCACCCACCTGCAGGGCAGTGCTGCAGCCTGAGCCCCCCGGGCTCCTGCACTCACCTTGACTGCAAAAGGGCCTCAGCTTCCCCCAGCGCCTCAAAGCACGGTGCGCTTTGCTAGAGAAACTGCAGGGCTTTGAAACAATTCCAGCTCCCACACGGCTCTTCCCTTTTCAGAGGCAGCAGCCCGATATAGATTTGAGGAGGGGGGAAGGAGGAAAAAAAAAAAAAAGTAAAAGACCCTGAGAAGCACAGGCAAGCAGACAGCTCCGCAGCTGGTGCCAGAGCTTTCCATTTCCTTCCCACTTTGCCTTAATTCATGCACCAGAGCCCACCCTACTGCTGTTGAAGCTAGGAGATGTTTTGCCATCGGCTCTGAGTGCAGCAGGGCCGTGCCCCCCACCGATGCAGCCGCCCCCACCTGTGCTGCTCCTGCAGGTGCCTTCCCCTGCCCTCGGTTCAGGCTCGCACAGGGGGCACAGCTTTGCCCCCAGCCTCACTCAGCTCACAGCACACATCCCCCCAGGAGAGCAGTGCCCTGTGGCAGCACTTTTAATGGGTCTGTCCCAGCTGCAGCTCAGCAGCCCGCTTTATGCTCATGGCACACAGCTGCCCTCCTGCTGATGCACCTGTGGTGGCTGGGGCTGGAGGAGGCACCAGGCTGCACCCCAGGGCAGGGCTGGGGCTGTTTGTGCAGCTTGGGGCCAGCCCCAGTGCCTGTGCTGGGTGTCAGGGCCCCCACCATGGCCCTGGAAATAAGTTCTGCATGAGAGGAGCTGAAATGACACACAGCCAGGTGCTGCTACAGCCCGAGAGGAGCTAGCTAAGATGAAACCCAGAAGCTGGCACAAAGCTCCCAGATGCCAATGGGACATTCTGCTTTTCCTACTTTTTTGCTCGTTCTGGGGGTGAGATCTGCCCAAACTGACAATGCCGATGGTTTCTAAGTGTCAGCTCTCACCTACCATGAAACCCCCTTGCCTAAGAGACAGGACCGCTCCCTAGCCCCTTGTGGCACAGCAGGCAGTACCCGATGTGAGCACCGAGCTGCCGCAGCTTTACCAGCACCGAGCTGGCACCAAACCGCAGGGTGAGGGACACCAGCTCGGCCGTACCAAGAGCAGGTGAGGGCTGTGGGCACCGCACAGCTCAGCAGGCAGAGTGCCACCCGCCGCACACCCCAGCGCGCCGATTGCTCCCCGGGGAGCAGAGCTCCCGCTCGGTGCCGACAGAGCGGCTGCGAGAACGCGGCTCCCGGCGGAGGCGCTGACACGTCTGTCTGTCACTTCAGCCGTCAGGGAGCTGGGACAAACACAGAAGCCACACGGCACACGGCTACACGGGTGCTGGGGCTCATCGTGGCAGCCCCTGCGGGTCCTTCCCACAGCACCCTCCTGGCCGAGCTGCGGGGCACGCGCTTTGTGCAGCAGCACTGGGGATTGGGGCAGGCTGGGAGATGTGCAGAGTGGATATTGTTGAAAACGAACATGATGAGCATGCACACCACCCCCCTCAGGGTCTCATCGCCATCCCCACGCCCTCACTGGAGCATGCTTCAATTGTTTGGTGACAGAGGCAGAAGGTACGGGTCCTGTCTCCCCCCCAGGCGAAGGGATCTCACACCTCGGACTGCCATTTTCATACCCTGTTAAAGGCAGGATCACTCTTGTCCTTCAGCTTTTCCTGTTGGAGGAAAGGCCAAAGAGTTACACAGATAAAACACTTTCCTCCTTGGCTGGAGCCTGCTGAGGAATGAGAAGAAACTCCCCAGGAGCGGATGGAAGGAGGCTGCACGAGGCAGCCAGCCCATCCTCAGCGCACAGACAGCAGCACCTCAGGGTGGTGGGGCTGAGAGGCGAGTCCTGCTCCTGGGAGGCCCCAGGGTGCTGCCCCCGTCCACGTCTCCCCAGCTCCGCACGGCTGCCGTGCTGCGATAAGGCCGGGCGAGCAGCGCGCCGCTGCCGGCAAATGGAGGGTTTGGCAAGGATGCTGCACAGCCTGGTGGCAGTCACTGCCTCGACTGGCTGCGAAGGCAACGCTGGAGCTGTTGCAGGCTGAGGACAGCACGCAAAGACAACGGGGAAAGGGCAGCTGTGTGAGGAGGGGGCAGCCACCCTGCCTGGTGGGGTGGGAGGCAACCCGGCAGCAGGGCAGCAGGCGTCTGGTGCAGCCCCTTGTGATCATTTGTGTGATGGCGTGGTGTGATGTGCTGCTGCTGCTGCTGCTGCGGGGCACTGACAGCTGCCAAAACCTGGGTGAACAGCAGCCAGCCTGGCACTGGGGGTCTGCTCCAGGCTCCCTCCTGACCAAGGAGCAGCCCTGTGGGGAGGGAAGGAGGGGGCAGCCCGGGGCCCGCAGGGTGGGTGTGGGGGACAGGAGCAGCACGACCAAGGTCCCAGCAGCGTAAGGCCATGCTGGTTTTAAAAGTTAAAATGAGAAACACTTTAAAAGGGCAGTCACTTGGTGGTAACCTCTTTGGGGGTTGCTTTCCCCTCCCTTTACGGTTCCAGGCATGAAGAATTGAGAGTAAAGGTACAATTATGGGACAATTACCAAATCACCAAATAAACTGGAAGAGTGAGCATTTGCAAGCACGAGCCCAAATGTCACCCTCAAATGCTGCCTTTTGTTAGTGCTTTCCGCGGGCTGAGTCACGCCTTGTGCTGCTCATTCACCTTCCCTGAGCTCAGGGATCTGCCCCGGGGCTGTGGCTCCTGCTCCCAGCCCAACCCTGCCCTTGGAACACAAACCTTGTGGCACAAAGCAATGCCCCGAGCCCCTGTGAGGCTGCAGGGCCACTGGTGCGGTGCTGCTCCTGCTCCTGCTCCTCACGGCTGCTTTCCTTGCCTGCTCTCCTCTCCGCCTTCCCCTGCCTGCCTTGCGACCCTGCTCTCTGTGTGATAAAGCAGCGCGGCTCCCAGTAACCCGATGTGGTGACAGCTGAGCATCCTCTGCAGCCCGACAGCGCCAGGTTTGTCTACAGATTGTGGTGTCAGGAGATAAGAAACAGGCAATATCTGAGAACATCATCATGCGATATTACCTGTTCAGCAGCCATAATAATTTCTCCTTCCTCTCTCCATGATGACTATGAAAAAAAAGGGATATTTTCAAGCCTGACAAATGCAGTCATCCAGTGTGCAAGCGAATCTTGCAAGTGTTAGGAAGACAAACACATCTCAGCTGTCACACCACACATTTCAAATGCCAGCAAAGCCCTGTTGTGATGGGACTGCTCCCCCCGGGCTCCGTTTGGCGAGCTGACCACGGCACGGTGCAGCCCCAGCTCAGGGGGGCAGCCCCAAAGCATGGCCAGAGCAGCAGGGATGGAGGAAGGACAGCAGCACTTCCAGAATTAGTATTCCTGGCAGCCACAGCCACGCGTGCACCTTGACTGCAGCGTGCACCAGCCTCTGCGAGCCTGGCGGCCAGTGGCTCGTAGAGAAATGCAGAATTCCGAGTTACCATACGAGCACTCTGTCACCGTGCTGCTGTGGTGATGAACGAGCAGGCATTCACTCACGGGAGCGCTCCTCGGGCAGCTGCTGCCTTGCATCCCCTCCTACCTCGGATAGACGAGGGCCCACAGCTGCAGAGGGCAGCCAGTGCGCAATAATTTTGGCTGGGAAATCCCGTGCCCAAGCACTGGTGCGCTGCTGGTCACACGATGTGCCTCTGATTCACAAAACGTCCAAGAGAAGTTGATGTTCTGCAGCCTGACTCTGATGTAACCAGACCAAAGGACATCGGACAGCTCAAAGCACAGAGCATGCCTGGCCTGAGCTTCCTATCTTGAAAAATTCTGTTAAGTAACTGCTGAAAGCAGATGGTTAAAAGGTAACACAAATGCCAGATAAGAAAATGCATGAAGAGCCCCTGAGTCACCAGGGCTGAGCCTGGCAGCCCGCGACACGAGCAGTGTTTGCACTCAGGGTTGTGTAACAGATCCCCGGCACGGCGAGGCAGCGTGCTCGTGCTCGCTCCTCAGCACTGCTCCGAAACCTCTCCTCTCTGCAGAGCCGCGCAGAGCCCCGCCGATGCACATGAGCCAAGAGAAGACACCAGTTGTCACCCAGGCGCTGTCATTCTTCACCACAGCAGGTGTCTTCTTAATCAAAGAAATATCTCGAGACGCCCGCTGCTGCGTTCCCCCAGAGCGAGCCGTGGCTCGTTACAGACCGTGCTGGAGGACTGCATGAAATGAATGGCAACACGGCTGTGCTCCCCAGGGTGCTTATCCTTCAGAATAGAAGCAACAAAACCTCGTGGTGCTAAGCTCAAGTGCAAGACAGAGTGGAGCCCCCAGCGAGCCCCTAGAAGGGGACGTGGGAGCCTCCATCTCAACACCAAGCCTCAAGCCAAAGTGCAGCCAAGCACCAGCTGCAATCCTCTTCCAAGGGTCACGTAAACAATTAAAGTGACTTTTAGATGCTGCAGCACAGTTCCTGCCCTTACCAAGGTCGGAGCAGGGCAGCAGGCAGGCAGAGCCCCCCAGTTCCTCCCAGCACCCATGGGTGCAGGGAACCCCTCGCCGAGCGTGCACCCGCTGCTCGCACCCCGTGGCATGTCCCTGCTGGCTGCCTGTGGCGTGTCCCAGTGACTCCATGAGTGGGGTGGGCGCCTCCCCTTGGGCATCTCTGAGGCACCCTCAGGTGCTGGTGAGCATTCCTGATGGTGGATACATCGCACCTGCACCCTGCCAATGCGCATCCATCAGGCACAGACCTCGTCTGCAAGGTGAGCCAGGGATAGAGCCCACCTATCCCCGTATTTATGGCCTAATCCATCTATAGAATTATAGGAGCAATTCTGATCTTCCTGGAAAAGGAGGCTGATGTCTATTTATGAAGTGTACCTCGTGTTTATTAAAAATCCACGGTGAGAGCCATGTGAAAACCAACCACTGAGACGCCAGAAGCACTGAGCAAGTTTAACACTGTGGCTGGTTGCCCTCATCCCATCCCAAGCAGCAGGGGCAATCATGGGGGCTCGTGGATCTCCACACCTGGCTCCTTGCCCTGCACCGCTGAGAGGTGCCGGCGGTGCCAGGGAGCGTGGTGTGGCCAGGCTGTGCCAGTGGCTGGGGAGGGGTCTGCACCCCTGGGACCAGCACTGAGGGTGCTGTGCGCCTCCTGGAGCTGTGTGAGACCAGCACCAATGAATCCACCCCCACCGTGCCGACCTGCACACTATGAAAGGCAAAAAGCTCCCGCAAAGAGAAGTGATTTGCCAGAGCTGTGTAACTGTGTGGCGGAGCCAAGCGTCGCCGCTGCTCTCCCCGCTCCCCGTGCGCACGGTGCTGGCGTTGCCACCCCAGGCAGCGGGCAGGATCCGGCCAGTGGGCGGCCTCCCCCCGCCACGGCCGCGCTCCCCAGCCACCAGCCCCAGTGCTCAGGCTTTCAGCCTTCATTAGCCACCCCTAATTATTTACAGCCATAATGGAGATAGTGACCTTGCATGGAAAAAAACAACACTTGAGCCTCATTCAGATTCAGACTTCCACCTCTATTAAACAGTAACAGCTCTTGAGATGACAGACTCTGCACCACGCCTATGCAGCAGTAAAATGCCTGTTTCTGAGCTGTTTGCAGCATACATTTTACTCATCACGTGCTGCTCACAGGCAATGTGGGAGCTAGCTCCCTACACCGCCTCGGACGATGGGATTTTTGTCCTGACAAATGCCGCAGCATCCCACAAGGGTAAATT